TGGCACAGGGAACCACTTCCTAAATATAACCCCAGTAACACAGACACTGAGAGAAACAAATAAATGGGACCTCCTGAAACTGAAAAGCTTCTGTAAAGCAAAGGACACGGTCAACAAGACAAAACAACAGCCCACAAAATGGGAAAAGATCTTTATTAACTCCACATCAGACAGAGGTCTAATCTCCAAAATATACAAAGAACTCAAGAAATTGGACAACAAAAGATCACATAATCCAATAAAAAAAAATGGAGTACAGACCTAAACAGAGAACTCTCAACAGAGGAATCTAAAATGGCTGAAAGACACTTAAGGAAATGTTCAACATCCTTAGTCATCAGAGAAATGCAAATCAAAACAACTCTGAGATTCCATCTTATACCTGTAAGAATGGCCAAGATCAAAAACACTGATGACAACTTATGCTGGAGAGGTTGTGGGGAAAAGAGAACACGTCTGCATTGCTGGTGGGAATGCAAGCTGGTACAACGCCTTTGGATGTCAGTGTGGCGATTTCTCAGAAAATTAGGAAACAACCTTCCTCAAGACCCAGTAATACCACTTTTGGGTATATATATCCAAAGGATGCTCAATCGTGCCACAAGAACATGTGCTTAACTATGTTCATAGCAGCTTTGTTTGTCATAGCCAGAATCTGGAAACAACCTAAATGCCCCTTGATCGAAGAATGGATAAGAAAAATGTGGTACATTTACACAATGGAGTATTACACAGCAGAAAAAAATAATGACAGCTTGAATTTTGCAGGAAAATGGATGGAGCTAGAAAACATTATTTTGAGTTAGGTAACCCAGACACAGAAAGACAATTATCACCACATGTACTCACTCATAGGTGGTTTTTAAACATGAAGCAAAAAAAAAAAAAAAAAAAAAAAGCCAGCCTACACACCACAATCCCAGAGAACTTAGACAACAATGCGGACACTGAGAGAGACTCACATAGATCTAATCTACATGGGAAATAGAAAGTAGAGAAGACAAGATCTCCTGAGTAAATTGGGAGCATGGGGACCTTGGGGGAGGATTGAAGCGGGGGGGGGGGGGGAGGCAGGGAGGGGAGCAGAGAAAAAATACAGAGCTCAATAAATATCAATAAAATAAAGTATTTGGATTACAGGCATGGGCCTGGCTTTTTTAATGTTGACAACTGGTACTGATAAAGTATATGCTACAGAAAAAAATAGAATATTTGAAGGGTAAACTTGGCATATGTTCAATGATTTGAGATCTTAATCCAAACTAAGCCTTGTTAGATATAAGTTCTGGCTGCCTGCAGAGAGAGGAGATTTTGGAGCGGCCCTGTCATTTGGTGAATGCTGATGCAGGGGGAGGAGTAAAATGGTCAGGTGGGGTGGGGTTAAGGGGAAGAGTTTTGTTCTAGACTTGGCTAATCCTGAATGTTTAAGAGACACTCAGCATACAGTGAGCCTAGAGACATGAAGGTCAGGTGTGTCCTAGAGACACGAAGGTCAGGTGTGTTCTAGTAAGATGTCGGTGGAGGAACTCAGAGAGAGCTAATGCTAATGGGACAAGATTCGAAGATGGTAGGCATCATCCTGTATAACTCAAAGGTTGGGCAAAGTGGGGAGCAAGAGTTCTTAAGGAACAACAACAACAACAAGGTGTTCCAGGGAGAACTCTCAGTCAGTGAGAATGGCCCACTCCCTGCTGGGCTTGACTGTGTGTCACCAGAGACACCATCCTGAGTAGAAAGAAAATGGGTTTGGAGTCAGACTCGAATTTGGAGTCCGAGTCTGCCACTCATTGCATAAATCTAGACCTCCTAAAAATCTCTCAGGACCCCGTGAGCAGGAGAATGTGATTTACTTCAGTGTTTGCTTGTTTCAGCTTTTTGAGATGGGTATTCTGTAGTCCAGGTTGGCCTTGAACTTGTGATATAGCCAAAGATGCCCTTCACCTGCTGATCCTCCTGCCTCTACCTCCCTATTGATAGAATTTAATTTTAAACAGTAAAAAGACACAGGAGAGGTTTGAGTGCGTAGGTGACATGCTTCTTCTTGGAGAACAGACTGAGGAGACCACAGTGGAGGTAGCTACAAATGCTGTTGCTGAGCTCGAGATGGGGAGGAGGAAGATGGAGGCGTGACGGGCACAGATGGGGAAACTTGGGGTTCTTTCACACCAGAGTGAGCAGATTCAGCCGGCCGTCTGGAATGGGGCTTGAGGACCTGGCTTCTAAATGCTGCCCTAATCAGGTAGGTGGACTGTGAGATATTTCTTGATGTGGGAAGCCCCTGAAGCGTGGGTTAATAAGATGTCTGCGTACAAAATGAGAGCCCTCTTCAGGGCGTGTTAACTCAGGGAGGTCAGTCAGACCTGGAAGACAGTCACGTCCACCACTATCCCACCAGGGCAACCAGGCAGCCATTTGCAAAGTCAAGCAGGCCAAGGTATGAGAAGGGAAAGAGAAAAGCTGGAAATGGCACGTTTTGGGGTGGTTATCATTGTAGGGTCATATGTAATAGACGGAGAAAAAGACCGGAACGATGAGAGAAGTGGCTCACACAAGAGGCAGCGGCAGGAGGATCTCAGTGAGCTTGAGGCCAGGCCTGGGCTACACAGAGAGTTCCAGGACAGCCAGAATTACATAAAGAGAACCTACCTTGAAAAAAAGGAGTGTGGGTGGGTGAGTTATTCATATTTTGGAGGCCAGTTGGAGGCAGGAAGTTAGGGAGAAAAGGTGGCCAAAGAGAAAGAAGCAGAGCCAGGGGAGTGGGGCTTGTTGTCCTCAAGGCCATCTTGGAGCTTTCAGAGGAAAAAAGGAGACACATGTGCCACACACCACTAAATGGCTACATCGTGAGGAGCCACAGGCCTTGGCCGTCAGAAGTTATCTGCTATCTGGAAATGTTTCCAAACTCTCGGGGACCACAGTGTACTGACAACAGGGAGGAGGAGGACCAAAGGATGAGTGCCGGCTTGAGGCAACCCGCCATGTGCACTCACTCTTAGTGTCCACAGAGAGCTACTGCATATGGAAGCTGGATGCAGAATCTGGGCTGCTGTGACGATGTGTGTCTTTGGAAAGGAGTAGCTATGGCTGTTGTCGGGAATTTAAAGACCAGTGACCCTGCACTCCCTGCTAGAAGGCCCAGTGGCTAATTAGGGGCTGCCCACACTGCTGCCAGGCAGGAAGAGTTTGTCATTCTCTCTGGGTGCTAGTTCCCTATCCTGGACACCCTTTAAAACATTCAGAAATTTCTCTAGGTAAAATAATCCCTTTGGGTGCCCTCTGTTGGGTGCTATAAAAATGCAACCCAGACAGCAGAATGCTAAGTGAATATTTGAAAATACTGAGAAAAATGAATATTTATTTCCTTTTCTTTTAGGCCGTCTCACAGTCAAATGCACTCAGTAAGAAAGATACAACACTTGTTCCTCATCAGAGAATGGCAAATATGTTATTTAGCTTCTATGTGGTCCTTAAAAACCTATGAAGCTGAATCCAAACTATTATAATAACTCAGGAAAAAGTTGCTTAATCACCAAGAACATAGTGCACATAGGCTGGGCAGGCTGTTCTACATCTATTCACAGCGTGGAGAGTAGACGCCAAGCTTTTCTTGAAGATGCGCTGTGTCATTGGTGATACAGTCAGTCCCAAAGTAAACACTACGGCTACTTAGAAACTTAAATGGGCTGGAGTCTGGATGATACGCCTTGAGGTTGCCAGCATCTCTTCTTAGAAACTCCTAAAGGGACTGGGCCCCACCTCCCAGAACAGTCCACCCAGAAGACATCCAGGTCTCTGAACCCTGGAGTCCGAGGTTCATGATTCTTTCATTTATTTTACTTTTTATTGGTATGGTATGTGTGCATGGTGGGTGTATGTCTGCAGCATGCGGAGCACAGGACAGCTTTGAGGAATTGGTTCTCTCTCCACCTTTATATGGTGTAATGATTAGCTCTAATTGTCAACTCTACACAACCTAGAATCGCCTAGAAGAGTCTCAATGAGGGATTGTTAAAATCAGGTTAACATGCATGCGCTTTCTCTCTCTGCTCTTGACTGTGGATCTGTCTAGCTGCTTCAAGTTCCTGTCTTAATGTCCTCACTGTGAACTGACTCAGAACTGAAAGTTATGTAAGCCTCCTCTGCTGACGTCACTTTTCTCAGGGTATTGTACACCAGGACCATGCAGGAACTTTAGGGATTGTGAGTTCCAGGGACTGAACTTCCAAGGTCAATAGGCTTTCTTTCACAGCAGGTGCTTTACCCCACCTTGCTGACTTACGTATTTTCTCTAGCAAATTCAGGGCCCCATTAACATTGGAATGAAAGCCTGGTTATTTGAAAGGCTGGAAACAGTTTCTCAGTGATCCTGGCTGAAAAGGAATCATAGACACACGGTGCCAGTCTTCTGAGAATGATGTCTGTGAGGAAGTGTGGGCATCACATGAACTATCCCGAGAGCTTATCAGTGACCAGTTGCGTCACTCATGAACTGTGTTTTTCTAAAATGAAATCCCTGGGAGATCTGACCTAGTTCAGTGGCTCACAGTGCCGGAACAGTGTTGGCAGGGAGGGTCTCTGAGGAGTAATGCCAATCACCTGGGAACTCAAGGCTTCCCCGCCAGGAAGCTGCTTTAACACGCTCCTGGGTAAGCGAAACAATGTAACATTTGGGAACCCCTGTTCCTCCTGCAGATCAGTGTTGGTGATCTGAAGTGTTACTGTGTGTCCCAGGCTTGTGCAAACGTTCTACTTACTTACTATTAATGAGAAAGAACGCCATTCACAAGTATGGACAACAAAACATGTATTGAAGATCTAATACACTTTCCACTACACAGTGCTATATTTGGACAAAGGCAAAATAAAGTTTTATGATTTCCCAGGAACATTCTTCTCTGGATGTAAGTTAGCATTTCATCACAAATAAATTAACCACCCTGCCATCAAATAAACAAACTCAGAGTCATTTATCAAACGTACTTCCTTGTGGCTAAGATTACCTGCAGGTGGGCTTTTCACGTGGCACTCATCCCTCTTGATGGAAAGTTCTTCTTCCAAAACCTCCTTGATTCTCTTATGGGGCTCGCAGTATAAAAATGTCTTCCCTGGAAAGGTATTCACAATTGACTTATCACCAACCCTGCCCAGCCTTCCAGCACTTGTTCCTATATGAATAACTTTCTGAAAACTGGCCTGTCATCCCTTAGAGACAGCAGACAGCTTGCCCTGCAGACTTTTTCTTGAGATGATCTCTTTTGTCACAACTTCTGCTTTGGAGGACTTCATACTTCCATGTAATTCCTGAGGATGTGGAATAAGCTTCAGGGCTCTCTCTTAGGTATAATGAGGAAATATATAAAACATCCTCATGACCTCTGTGAACTTTCAATTATCAATAAGGAAAGGGTCTGGGGCTGGATGTTGGCTTTGTTTTGGGACAAAGTCCTCCTGTGTTTCCCAGCCTGCTGTAGAACCTGAGACCATCTTGCCTCAGCCTCCTGGTGTTGCAATTACAGGCATGCACCACCATGTGACTGCTGGTTAAAGACCTACTCTGTTCCTGACATTTCCTTTGGGGATGAGTGTAGTGATGAGGCGAGCAGGCCTGCTTTTTGTCCTGGCTCTCACACGGCTAGCTTTACACCCGAAATAACAACACACAAATTGTATTCATTTAAACACTGCCTGGCACATTAGTTCCAGCCTCTTAATGGCTAATTCTCATATCTTGCTTAACCCATTTCTAATAATCTGAGTAGCACCATGAGGTGGTAGCTTACCGGGAAAGATTCTAGCCTACGTCCATCTCAGATTGGAGAATCATGGCGACTGCCTCATTGCCTTCTTCCTCCCAGCATTCTATTCTGTCTACTCCACCTATCTAAATCCTGTCCTATCAAAAAGCCAAGGCAGTTTCTTTATTAACCAATGAAAGTAACACATAGACAGATGACCCTCCTCCATCAGACGAGGACAAAGCAAAGGGTAAGACAGATCTGTGTCTGGATCTTACAGTACAGATGTGTGAGCCGGGCGGTGGTGGCGCATGCCTTTAATTCCAGCACTTGGGAGGCAGAGGCAGGCAGATCTCTGTGAGTTCGAGACCAGCCTGGTCTACAAGAGCTAGTTCCAGGACAGGCTCCAAAACCACAGAGAAACCCTATCTAGAAAAACCAAAAAAAAAAAAAAAAAAAAAAAAAAAAAAAAAAAAAAAAAAAAACAAGAACAGTACAGATGTGTGTGTGTGTGCATGTGTGTGTTTGTGTGCATGCACATGCATACATGCGTGTGTGTGTGCACACATGCATGCGTGAGTGTGTGTGTATAACATCAATATGCTCCAGCATGTATGTGGAGGTGAGAGGACACTCAGATTTCAGTCTTCCCATGCTTGCACAGCAAGTGTTTAGGCCACCCTCCCCAGTCTCACCTCCGTGGCATCCCTAGCTTTCCTTCCCTAAGATTACAACTGATGACTCATCAACCAAGTGCTTGATGCTCCTGCAGAAAACTGGAATTCTGCTTCTGACACCAACAGGGAGGCTTACAGCAGCCTGGAACTTTAGCTCCTGAGGACCCAATGCCCTTTTCTGGACACTGTGGTCTCTCTCACACACATACACGCACACACACACACATGTACACACACTAACAAATAATAAAATTAATCTGAAAATAAACAAGAGATTAGATCCATAGACATTAACCACAGATTAAGGTCCAGGATTTTCTGTGGCCTCTAAGGCTAGCCCCATCTCTCACTGCTGCCCCAGCCCAGGACTGGTCTTTGTCCCCGGTGCCTTGCAGCATTCTTTCTGCTCTCTCCAGAGAACAGAACCCTAAAAGCACCTGGGATGTGTCTTCAGACTGACTTCACTGTTGGCTTCTCTGTGCTCAGTGCCCCATTGCCACCTGACCCCACCTTTGCATGTCCCCTCTCCCTGACCAGTCTCTCTTCTGAGTTTTTGCTGAAGTAACTGCCCCTCTTGCTTTACTGCATTCAGTTCCTGGAGAAGCAGTCCCTGCTCTGCAGCCTAGGACTGTCTCTTTCTTTCTTCCTTTCTCTCTCTCTTTCTCTTTCTTTCTTTCTTTCTTTCTTTCTTTCTTTCTTTCTTTCTTTTTTGCCTAGTAGCCTTTCTCTCCTCATTTGTTTCATTTGCATATTTGCATACAATTACTGTTTAATGGTGGCTTAATATCTGTCTCGTAAAGGCAGCCATCAATACATAAAGGCAGAAGTCCTTCTGTTCCACCCGTTGGATTATTAGAGCCGAGTTTGGCGTAAGGGATGGGCAGCAGAGGTGTGCTGAGGTAGAAGAGCTGCTGCATACCTGTCTGTCCACACAGCCTTTCAACCACCAGAGAACAAGGGCTTCCTGTCACAACTCAAGGAGCCATGAGGAACTCAAGCCAAGTCTTTAGATATTTAAGATTTGATGTTAATCTCACAAAGATATGGCAGGCATCTCCTCTTGTTCCCAGTTTACCAACAGAGAGCAGAAGTGTACTTGTCCTGAGTGCAGACTGGCCCAAAGGTGACAAGCTCTTTGGGTAGTAACCTTGCCCCACTTCTGATGGTGAAGACTCAGAAAAGGTACAACCAGACACGTCTGGGTTCTTATTCTTGTTTCCTAAAAGTTGGGGTTCATGGGAGTAGAAAGCAGCCTTACTTTATCCTGTTTTAGACTTTCTCTGAATAATCATGACCTTCACAGGAAATGGCTTGACAGGGAAGGAGGCTAAGTCCATACTGTAGCACAGAGAGAACTGCCTGCCCCTTGGCAGACTGCGGTGTGGCAGTCAGGGAATCCACAGAGCAAACTGTGGAAGGAGAAAGGGCAGGTGGGAGGGAGAGGGACAGGAGACAGAGAAAAGAAGAATAAGGCAGAGAAGTCCACTCACTGTGCCTGAGCTGCTCCACTGATTTGGTTAACAAGCTGTCATGTGCAGGACAGCCGGGCAGGGGGGAAGGGCTGCAGAGACCTCTGTAGCTCTGGGCTTTGTTTTGGAGTAAGGTTTGGCAGGCTTGTTGACTTCTAACAACAGTTGATACTGATTTTTTTTTTTTAACCTAAGCATCTTACTTGTGTTTCTTTTTCTCACAGTTACCTGTGGGTGAGAATAACTGTTTATGTTTTATGTTAAGAAAAGCCTGGTGTGGCGGCATGCATATTGATCCCTGGAGCTCACTGGCCAGCCAGTCAGCCAGTAGTTCAGCCAGTCTAGCCTGTCCTGCAGAAAAACTTCCAGATCAGCAATAAAACTTGGATGGAACCTGGGGAATGACACCCCCCTCCTTGATTGCCTCTGGGGATTAGCTAGAGCATCTGGTGGAGGCTCCCTCACCAGAGAGGCAATCAAAGAAGCTCTGAGCAGCACCTGGGAAGCTGCTGGCATTCCTCCTTGGCCCTGTTTTCACCCATCTTCCTGACAGCTGTGTTAGGGCGCTCTCGGTCCCTTTAAAAATCAATGCCTTCATGAACCATCTCAGGTGAAGGTGATATCCAGTGCTTGGGTTCAGGAGTCCGTGGTGAAGGGGAAAAGACTTCCTTCTATACCCTTGGCCTGAAGAGATCAGGGGTGCTTTCTGCCAGTTTCTTTATCTCTGTCTTTGCCAAATAGCGGCTCTCCGCCCCTTCCCTAGAAATCTTCAGGTCTCCATCCAGTTCCTCCCTGGGGTCCTCAGCCTTGCCACTGATCCCCACAGCCCCACAGCCCCAGGGCCCCACGGCCACAGCCTAAAACTGGAGCTGAACTTACATGGTTGGCGGGGCTCTTGGGGGCCGCCAGTACGACCCAGCCCTGGGGGCCTAGGCTGCTCCCCGTCGCGGCCCGCCTCCGCTGCCGTCCCTGCCGTCCCCACCAGCGCCTCCTGCCGCCTCATGCCACTGGGGTCTCTCGGGCCCAGGCCCACCAGGCCTCTCAACTCCGCCACCGGCTGCTCTGGAACGCGAGGCGTCTGGGGTTGCCATAGTGACCGCGGATGCTCCGGGCCTCCAGGGCTCTGCTAACTTCTCCTAGGACCCGAGTGACGGCGACGCACCGCGTGCAGTCAGGCGCTGCGACTCCTTAGATACAGACCCACTCAAAGGACCCAGCTTCTCAAGAGAGGTGCTTCCGTTGTGTGACTGGGAAACCGAGAGTCACAAAGTTTTGGGAAAGTGTCCAAGGCCACAAAACTGGGGTATGACTCAGCAAAGTCTGCTCCAAAGCCCCAAGAATTGGTCACCAGCTGGGACAGGGAAGGTCTGAGTGCTGGGATGGGCCACAGGCCCGGGACCGGTGATTCCCTACTATAAATTCACAATTTAGGAGCTGTAAATTACTAAACAACTGTAGTTTACGACTTCGATACCCACTGTCTATGTCAGCGCACAAAGTCACCGATTTTACAGGTGACGAACCTACAGAATTGGAAAAATGAGTCAGAAAATCGAGTTTGTTTGAAGCAGCGGTTATCTTCGTTTTTTTTAAGTCATTAAAAAGTTGCATTACTTTTTTAGAAAGTTAAACAATTCGATAAGACTTTTAACAAATTCAGGATATTCCTCCCCCCCCCCCCAATATGTCTGTCTTCACTGAATCCCAGTTGCAACCACTTTTATTCTTCCGGTTTTTGTTGTTGTTTTCTTCTTTGTTTGTTTGTTTGAGACAGGGATTCTGTGCAGTCCTAGCCGTCTAGGAACTCTCTTTGTAGACTAGGTTGACCTTGAACTCACAAGAGGTCCACCTTCCTCCCTTGCGTTGTGGTTAATTAAGGACGTGTGCCACCATGCCCGTCTTCGATCTTTAAATTCCAAAACAAACCTTTGCCACGAGTGCCCTGCACACCTGCCATTTCTTGCGCCCAGACATTCACTTGCCTCTGCCTCCCGAGTTTGTGCGCCACCAACGCCCAGCCCCCGCTTTTATTCTTGGTTGTTAATTTCGTGTTTGTAGCCATTAAACCACATTGGTGGGATAGAATAGTCTCGAAACTGACTTAATCATGTACTAGCACCAGATATAAACAAAAGTGGGTGTGGGCGTGGGGTGCGACTGAGAGAGAAGAACCTTCTGGGCACGGGTGTTATATAAATTGGATGTGCATCTGGAAGAAAACCCTGAACCTTGACTTCTGGCGTATAGTAAACACAAGCAGCAGATTAGATGGTCGTAGTCATAAAGGGAAGGCCAAGGCTTCTAGGTGGTATCCGTTGAACATGGTCACGACCTGGGTGTTGGGAACAATTTCCTATGTAAGCAATAAAAGGCATAAATCAAAAGAAAACATTAAGTTAGAGAACATAAAAATTAAGATAATCTCTTGATTAAAGTCACTGGACTGGGTCTGAAAAAGCATGGGATAAAACCGGACTGGCTGAACATAGCAGACAATGAGGACTGCTGAGAAGTCAAGAACAATGACAATGTGTTTTGATCCTACTACACGTACTGGCTTTGTAGGGGCCTAGGCAGTTTGGATGCTCACCTTACTAGACCTGGATGGAGGTGGGTGGTCCCTGGACTTCCCACAAGGCAGGGAACCCTGATTGCTCTTCTGGCTGACGAGGGAGGGGGACTTGATGGGGGAGGGGGAGGGATATGGGAGGCGGTGGAGGGGAGGAGGCAGAAATCTTTAATAAATAACTTAATTAATTAAAAAAAAGAATGTAGGGGTTAAGTCACAGACTGGGAGAACATTTTCGAACCACATTAGGACCCATAAATAAATAATCAGGACCCATAAAGAAGTCTCACAGATCAGTGTGAGTAGGGTATGGAACTCAGTAGAGCATGGGGGGAAGACACACAAATGAACACACGACAGAAGAGATCCCAACAGCTGACGGACACTGAGACACTGTCCCACACATTTGTCACCAGGCCAAGCAATGGAAGCGGCAAGGAGCTGTTACCTCCCCCACGCTAGCCTGGTTGCTAAACCAACAAACAGGAAACAGTTTCCGGAGCAGTGGCAATGGTTGGAGGGCACATGGCAGCTGGGTTCTCATCCTTTACTGTTGAGTGCCTCCTGAGCTGGCCAGGGAGGTTTAGGCAGGAGTGTTTGTGACCAGCTGGGGCAGCACAGTGAGAGTCTGTCAAAAACGAAAGTGTAAATTTATGTGACTAATTTGAAGAGCTGTTTTTACTGCTTTTACTAAAGAGGAATGTTCTAATATCACAGACATCAGACATGTACTAAACTATGGAGCAGGGCACCAAAGCCACACAGTAGAGTGCTCCCAGTGACACCATTCACCAAAGCCCCAAAGACTCGTAAAGGAATTAGAAACAAGGTGACCCGTTAATCATGTGTTCTTAGAATATCACAAGGAAAAAGCACAAACTTTTTTATGTAGAAACGTGGGAGAATTCCACAGATATGATGTTGTACATTTTAAATTATTCAATGGCGTAGTAAAAATTAAGATGATGAGGTAAAAATAGTGGCTAGCTTTGAGGAAACACTGAGGGGTGTAAAGCAGGTTTTAGGGACCCCAGCTGTATTCTGCACCTTGATCTGAGGGTAGCTACAAGGTTTGTACATTTTGTCAAGGTTTCTAAACTTTGTTGTGTGTATGGTATATCTCCACAAGCTAACAAGCATTTTATATTTTATATATAATTTTATATTTTAATTTTATATTTTAGTTATAAAACAAAAGCTTGTTTGAAATTTTACTCATAAAAAACAATGTCATTTATTTGATTAAATAATAAGGAATCACACAATTCTTGTTTCCTCTTTTCCCCAACATCAAAAACCTGGAGGTAAATTTTTGGTTGCAGTAGCTGCATTAATTTAGGTAGCTTATTTCTTTTCTCTTCTATGGCTTTGCCTCTTAAAATTTCCAATCACAATATGTGTATGCCACTTCAAATTCTTTTGTGTATAAATTATTGGTTAAAAAAGTATACAATATGTTATTTTAGCTGTAAAAATGGGGTACTTGGTTTATCCTCTTTGCAGTTTAATGAAAAAGACCAAAATGTCCACTAGGTGGAGACAAAATCAAAGACCTGATCTACTAGCACAGCAAAAAAAAAAAAAAAAAAAAGCTATTGTATTATCAAAGTTAATATATTAAATCACATGACAGTAGTATTAAGTATAAATCTAGGTGATATATTTAACATTGTATGTTTAATTCTTTAGTTTTACAACAAATCTCAAGAGCTCTTACCTGTTTGCTTAGGTTTTGAACACTGACAAAGTAATGGGGGGGGGAACTTCCTGCTGTTGCGTTTCTTCAGAGAAGTATATCCTATACTTGCTTCAGGGTCTCAGCTCAGTTCCTACAGTCTTAAGTTAGTTTCAGACTCCGCCAATACTCCTTCTATAGTAAGCAGCCATCATATCAAATTTATTGAATGTTTCCAAGTGGATTAAATTTGGGGGACAATTGTCTTAATGTCCTCATCTGTCTGTTAATGGGGACTCTTCTTCTTAGAAGTGCTTTTTTTTTTTGGTCTGGTATTTTAAAACTCCAGTGAATTGGTAAAATGCAGTTATTTGGTAACTTACAAGATCCAAAAAGCCTCCAAGAAAATACACTTTTTAGAACTTGGAGGAGGTCATCATGTATCCTACTTGCTATAGAAAAATAAAAGGACAAAATTAGTCATTCTTGGATGTCTACCTGCAGAAATCATCCTCACTGAAAATGGGGTTGGTGGCCCATACCTGTAATTTCAGCCCTCTCTGTGGGCAGAAGCAGACAACCATGCGGTCAAACCAACCTGGCCTATAGGAGGGTCTGTCTCACAAAACCATTTAAAGAAACAAATGTAATTACAATATGCTTTTTGTGCAAGACTTATATCCTGCTCAAAGGACTGTGGAAGCAAAAGTCAAGCCTGCCTAAATACCACCATCATCAACAGGTAGAAAGTTCCAACCAGACTTGAGATTCCTGTCCAGCCATTCTGCAACCCAACTGTTGACCATGTCGCTAGGCGAATCTAGGATTTGTCCTGCTGTCTACAAGTGAATTCTTCCACCGTCCCCAACCCCGAGAAATAGTCATTTGAAGGAAAAAAGTCAACTTGTTAACTCATCTGGATGTATTCCGACTTTATTACGTCGATGGCTGCCTCCCACTAATACCCCAGGGCTGTTCTGTTACTAATCTTGAAACCAGGTCGGTAAGTCACCAGCTGTTTTTCACTGCAATGACTTTTACTTCTTTGTGTTTCTATGCCACAAAGTGAAAATTGCTTCTTATTGTGTACTTGTACTTATGTGAGGTGGTTAAAACAAGTAAGCTCATTGGTGCGGGGTGGGAATGCAGTTTCCAGGGTGGGACATAGAGGGGAATGGGGAGGAGAGATGTTCACTGTGCATCATGCATCGGCTATGAAAATGTCTGCCTGCATTCAGGATATCTACTGGGCAGCACTGTGCCTGCGGATAGAGACGCTGTTCTGTTCATGCACTCGATATTTTAAGAGGGCTAGCCTTTGATGGGGGGAAGCTCTGTTAACCAATCACCTTTAAGAAGTGGAACCTAGTTAAGGCGTGGCTACCTGGAGCCCAGGAAGAAAACTAGGGTGGACCAGGTGCGCTCTCTCTGGGTGATTCCCGCAAGACACAGCGAAACTCGGACTTCCCATTCTTGTGGTGTGAGTTTCCCCTTATAACAATTAAAAATATAATTGTTTGTCTTTAAGCTGGCCTGGTTATTTTCCAAATTGAGCAAACAGTTACAAGCCTTATGATAAATGTTCTCCTCATAACAACTACGACAAAAGGGGAATTTTTTACATAGAAGATAAATAGCATGGCATTTTACACGGAAGTAGAGAAGAGATAAAATCAACACGTTTGTGACCTACATAAAATGCATATTTCACATATGGTCCCGGGGCATACATATTTAAAGTCTAGGTGCTGGGAGAGAGGGCTCGGGTGTTTAGAATATATGCTACTCTGTCCCCAGCAGTCACCTCAGTCAGCAGGACACAACTGCCAAAGCTCCAGGGAATCTGACACATTCTTCTGGCTTCTTCTGGCTCTTTGGGCACTTACCCTCACACACACATATACAATTGTGAAATAAAATTAAATCCTAAAATATACCCACTAAACCTTTACAAGTAAATACATTTTTCCTGATTTTCTATGTCTTCAACCTACTGTAAGATGATGTTAAAGGGTATAGATTCCACTCTGTGTACTAGCAGACTAACTAGTAACATATACTTATAGTCGGTTAATATTTTAGCTTTCTTTTTTGAAAAGACAAGTCTGGAAAATTCATTGCAACTTTGTCCAGCTATATAGTAAAATTGGCATTTCCATCATGCAAACTATTAAAAATCATATGTAGCTGTGACCTCCACCGAACCATAGAAATTAGAATTTTCTAAAACTAAACTCATTTGACTTAAAATTTCCAGGTACCAAAATTAGGAGTAGGGAATATTTTCTCCCCAATAACACCTCGTACTAGGCAGGTCTCTTTTCCTATATATTTTAGCTTTGTGTTTGAATGTATTTAAATGAGTTAAGCAATGAAATATAAGAAATGATTACTAATTTTTAAAGTATATAATGGTTGTCTTAAGTTTATTTCTGTTGCCATGACAAAATATCCTGACAAAAAGCAACCGAGGAAAGAAAGGTCTCTTTTGTATTTTATGTGTGCATGCATGTGACCTTGTCCAATTAGTCAAGTTTGGATATATTCTTTGTATCATGTTCTACCTTATTTTTTGAGGCAGTGCCTCACTTAACCTAGAGACAGCCTTTCTGCTAGACTAGCCACGGTGAGCCCTGGGCCACTGCTAGACTGACCACGGTGAGCTCCGGGCCCCTGCTGACCCTGCCTTGCTAGTGTGGGGTGACAGGTGTGTGCCATTATGCTACTTTTATGCGGATTCTGGGGATCCAAACTCGGCTCCTTTTGCTTGCACGGGATGCAGGTGCCCTCTGAAGCACCTCCCCAGACCCTCCGTTTTCATTATAAAACGCTTCCATTAGGGTAGTTGTGTGTGAAATTGTAGCTCATGGCATCTCAAAGGGTCCGGGTCCTTCCTGAGCTCAATATAATTCTCCAGTGTTTCCAGTTTCACCTACAGTGCCTCTCAGATGAAATGCTGAGCCAGCCCATTGTACTTACAAAGGAAGGAAAGTAAAACAATTTAGGTGGCAGCTTGCTTTTGGACGGTGAGAGCTAGTCCTTTCAGTAAGCCGGGTTCGAACCTACAAAACTTGCTGCAGTGATGAGACGGACTGGAGGAAGCGCCCGTGTCATTAGGTCCACGATGAGGACACTAAATGAACCCGAATTTTCAATGGATAAAATGACGAACCAGAAATGAATGCTTTTATGGATTTTTTTTTCTCATTTGCTCAGTATTAACAGGAACCCATCCTAAAAAGGGGGGGAAATAAGGCATTGGGGTGCTTCAGAAAGATGTAAGCAGAATGAGCCATAACCCATTCAACCTGGCATTTCCCCATAGGTGCATTTTCTCTCAGAATCTCATTTCTCTCCAGTCCTTGTAATTATTTCCTTTAATTTTTTCTTATTTTGCTTATTCCAATTTTTCTGTTGAAGAAACCTTTGATACATAGCTGGAACCTTTGAAACTGGGGTAGAATTTTTTAAATGTCCAGTTGCTTGAATTATTGAGAAAAGCTCTATGTTGCTAATTTTACTGGGAATGTATGAGAGAAAACTATAGCGGGAAAGAACTACTGTCAGTCTCCAAGGGTACAAATGCCCAGGCTGGGAAGGGCATGTCTTCCTGAAATAGTGGCAGCAGGAACTACAATGTCATGAATAAGCATGTACTCCTAAACTGGAGTTACAGATGGCTGTGAGTGCTGGACACTGAATCTGGATTTTCTGGAAGAGCAGCCATGCTCTTCACAGGACTCCTCCCTTCAGCTCCACACACCCGATTAAACCACTATTGAATCTCAGTCGACTGACTTATGTGGGTTGGCCCAAAAGACGAAATTAGGTCGACATTTAAAAATGACATTGGAAAGGACAGCTGTTTTTCTTCTCGCTGTGACCAAACACTTGAGTGTTATGGTGTAAGAGGCAGTCACTGTGGTAGGGAAGGCAAAGCAGTGTGTGTGAAGTAGCTGTCACTGTACCCAGTGAGAAAGCAGACACAAACACTGGTTCTTAGCTTGCTTTCTCCTTTTTATTTAATCTGGGACTTGAGCCCATGCGACGGTGCCACACACATTTGGACACGCAGTCTCTCTTCAGCTAAACCTTTCTATTAATTCCCTTCCAGACACGCTAGAGGCCAACTCCTGGGTGAGTCTAAGCTGACGCGGACAATGAGCCCCTCGTGGTCTTTCCCTTGGACTCGAGTTCTCGTGGTGAGAAGACTCTTTGGGAATACAGAGGGGCTAGGGAGTCCATCACAAACTATGTTGCAGGCACCAGGAAGAGAAAAGTTAATGCAGCTTGAACTTGAACAAAGGTGCCAGATCCAGTGAAGTTCTGTGCCAGTTAAAGAAGAATTCACGCCTTCTGCACTGTCAGTTTCTACTCTATTTCTAGTTATGCTGTGTCACTACCCATATTTTGTCTCTTGTTTGGTTTTTGTAAGAAAGCCTGAGCCACTTGTTGTTCTGGTCCCATATGATAATCACTCCTCACTGTTACGATTCTGTGTGCCTTTGCCTTTGTCATGGCTTGTAGAAAATGAGGGCTGAGGGGTAGCGGTGGACATTTCCTGGAACTCACTGAGTCTAGGTAAGTAGTGCCCAAACCAGCAGGGAGAGAGAGACGGGTCAACCCTTCAGAGGGCAGTTTTAATCTCTTGGACCAAGGTACAGTTTTGTGCATGTCAAAGTGACACTGACTGGCCATAACAATAAGGGTCACATGGGTTGACCAGGGTGAGGTAGGACTGTCCACAGGATTATGAGGAATGTGGTGGGGGAGGCAGTGTAAAACATTCCAGGATTAAACATCTCCCTAACTGCTTTCCTCAGAATGGCTACATCTTACAATACACCTAAATATTTCACTATTTTTTGAACTTACGAAGATGTAAGTCACGAATATGTTAGTGTTTCTTGTTTAGAATGAAAGCAACTGGAGATGCAGAAAAGACAGCGGAACTGCACCAGTATGTTGAAGATGAAAATTTGGAGTTATCTTAGCTTATAAAAATACAAGTCAATATGCTGAACACTGAACAAAGACCCAGGGTATGGGATATTTAAAAAATACTTTTCTCTTGGATCAGCACCAAAAAATATCCTTAGCTTCTCTATTACCCATGTCCAGTTAAAATTACCTCTGATAAAAATCACAATATCTGTAGCATTCACCACAGCTGCATCCAGACACCTCTCAAATACACTTTGACACCAAGGTCAGGCAGGTCACTTAAAAGAAAACTGTGATTCATCCAACAAAATTTCTGTAGTGAGACATCTGCTCTCTGTATATGGGGATATTTTACATCTCATACATAGGAGGCACTGGTACTTTGAAGCTTAAGAAAATGACTAGAGCCATTAAGACGGAGGTGAAGAGTTGGTACAGTCTTCCACGATTTTAAAGAGGTAGTGATAGACGCTTGTCCTCCTGGCAATGTCGGAAGCGGTTTCTTGTGAGTTGTTTTTCAGCCCTGGTTTGATGTAGCGATTCATCAGGAGGAGTTCCAGGGTGTCCCTGCTGTCTCTATTCCCAGCAGCAAGGTGCAAAGGGGTCAAGAGGCCTTTTGTTTGGGCATTGATGTCTGCATCGTGCTGAAGTAAGAAGGAGGCCACCCTGGTGTTATTCCACTTACAAGCACTGTGTAGTGGTGTCCAGCCATCCACAGTCACTGCATGAACATCTGCCCCTTGAGCCACCAGCTCACGAACAATATCTAAGTGTCCACTGTAGGCTGCTCGGTGAAGAGGGGTGTACTCATCTTCGTCCCTAGTGTTCACTTCAGTGGCCTTCTCAGAAAGTAGCCTCTGCACTGTAGCAAGCTAAGGAAAAAAGGAAGAGAACTTAAAAAAAGTCCAACTCAAAGCAAAACAATCGACAAAGGCAATTACATCATCCAGTGGCTTTAGACTTCAAGATTCTCCCTAAAGGAGGAGACAGTAATGATTAACGTTGAACAAGTTACAGCCCATCACTCTCTGGTGCATCTAAAGAATCTGATTCTCTGAATATCACACCACACATTTAACCCATTCTAATAAACGCTTATTGTCAAATGCTTTGACCCTAGATGAATAAAGGGTTTAACTGTATTTTCTATTTCACCTGTAAAGCAAACCTAATTTTCCTGTAACAGTATATCAATCTACACGGCATAGGAACCAAAAAAACCCTTTTAACAGTAGAATAAAGTGAATGCTAAAGCAACCTAGAGACTAAAGAGCTCAGTTCCTCCAGACAAGCTCAGAGACATGTCATGTTGCTGGGCATCAAGGACCTCTGACAGAATACATTGTGCTTTGGGATTGAAAAGAATCATAAAGTGTAAAACCCTCTCAGTTTTCAGTTTACCGACACACATGGGAAGACTTAGTAAACTAAGCACAAATGGGTCAAGTGGGAAGAATTGATTTTTGGGTACTATGTTTGGATGACAAATCTGCCTGGCCTTCCTCGTAGGACTTTGTGAGGAGTAAATAGAGCAGTTAGACACTTGATGGACCGGTCATCTAAGTTAATTTCCTTCTTACCCATCCTTAGCAATACTCACCTGTGGAGTGATCCTAATGATTTAATTAGAGGGTTGTTTATAATTACCCCCAAACCTCCCGACATCTAGTCGGTTTATAATGTAGTGTACATTTTCATATATACTATTTCATTTGACACTCCTACATAAATGAGACAAATATTAAGCTGCCATTTTTAAAGACAAGAAATTAAAAGGACCAGAAATGATGGAATATGCCCAGAGATACAGAGGTCAGGACCAGGTATCTGGGCTCCAAACCAAATGCTTTTCCAACTATATAATGGTTTCTTTTTTTTACCCGATTTTTTTCAGCAGCCCAAAGAAGCAATTTGCTTGGATCTTTTTCCATTTTTTTCTCTTGCAATTGATACCATTCTTCGTGTTTTTCTTCTTGCTCCTCCTCTTCATCAGAATCGCCTACCCAGAGACTCTGAGTACCAGTGGGAATCAGGTGTCCATGGGTTTCCAACAATTCGAGCTGATTAAACTGTTCAGAAAAGTCCAAAGAGTTTTCTGGGTCTGGTGTTTCATCATCCCTTACTTTTTCTTTTTCCATTTTTGCTACTATTCTAAAAAAGCATTTCAAGCACTAGGGGACAGTCTTTCTAGAGACAGATTACATCTGCATTGTTTGGTCATTCCAATCTGAAAACACAAACACAACAATGTTAGACATTGGTAACTAGGCATCATCAACAGGATACCAACCTTGCAAACAAGACAAATAAATTGCCATACTGTCTTTGGTGTTTTCTCCTATAACCCATTAGGTTTCTGTTCTCTATGATCATTTATAGTTTTTATCTTTTATAAAAAATGTTTTCTTTTACTATGTAAATGGTAATAACTATCTTAATTTTAATCTATTAATTTAGGTATGTTAAGACAGGTGGAGTATAGGTACATTCAGTACACAGAAGGGTTGTGATTCACCCAGTACTAAAAGATTAAAGTTTTCCTGTGGGCAGAGATGTTTACTCCGGTAGCCTGCCATATTACTTTATAAACTGACATCAGCTTGAAGAGTTAACCAGAATGTAAGACTCAATTAAGAAAACAAGAAGTTACGTTGAAAACCATTTATCAGTTTCTTAACAATATTTTTTGAACTCTGCCATTTTTCATTGCTATTTTCAAATGTTACAACTTTCATTCTCTGTTGAGCCGATTATATTTCTCTGTCTATTCTTTTAGGTGCTATGTCTTACATTGTTCTTCCATCAACCTTTGAAGAATAGGCCATCTTCAGCTCAGATTCTTGTGCCGTTTGTATGTAACTTGTATTAAGAACTATTTGTATCATTAAATTTAAGACCTATCATTTAACTTTCCTTTGAATGGCCTCTAAGAACTTATCAGTTATACATACTCCTTATGGTGTTTTTCTACTTAATTTCATGTGTTCACCATTCTGTTGCCCTAGTAAGCTTCATTACTAGTGACAAGAGCAACAAAATCATGACCAGCAACGTCCTAGGGCCTATAGCTGTATTGTAAAATATAAAAATCCCACTGACGTTTTTAAGGTCTGATCGGTCTGTCATTTTTTAAGAGAGCGATCAGAACTATTTTCTTGCAGTTTTCAAGGTTTTCTTTCATCTTAAAACTATTTTCTAAAATTACTATGTCACGTCAATTCATTAACCGCTTAACATGTCAATACCAAAACACAGCACAGATCTCAGCCCCCTTCCCACACCTTTCGTTACGAAAACTCATATTAACTCTGACTTTACCGTTCCAGATGTAAGCTACATATAACTGTCTTGGTATATTTAAAAGTAAAACCCAGATGTATCTCCTGCTTTAAGGCATAAAACTTTATGCATACCATTATGGAGGAATAGGGCGTTCCTTAACTTAAAGGCAACACTCCATTTTAGAGAGATACGAACTGTTCCAATTCTCATCTCAGTGAGATGGAGCCCCACGTCCCATTTCAGAGGACTGCGCTGAGACTCTGACAGTTTAAGACAAGTTGCCCCGCATCAGCATCAGGACCTTTCTGGGGTCTGATTTAGTTCAACGCTCCACATTATTTTTACTCCACTCTCTTCACGGTTCTCTCAGCACACAAAGTAAGGCACAAGTGGTGACCGGGGATCCTGGGGCGATCGTCAGGGGAAGAGGGAAGAAAGGTCTCTCTCCGGTCTAGCGGGAGGGCTTCCGATGCCCACACCGGAGAGGCTGCCTCGGCGTTACCTAAGACGTGGCCCGCCACCCACGGTCGCCCGCCCCGCCGCTCCGGACGCTCGTCTCACCTTCCACCGAGAACCTCGCCGAGAGCATCGCTTCCGGGTTCGCCCCTCCGCTGACGATGATTGGCTGCGTGCAGGGGCGGAGCCATTCTTTAGTCAATGAGAGAGCAAGGAGGACATGTGACGCCGGCGTCACCAGTGAATCTCGCGAGAAGTACGGCGGCGGCTGTCCCGCGCCTAATTCAGGATTCTGCTCGCGGTGTTCTTGTTCTGGGCACTCCCGCTCTGTTTGCCCCGTGCTGGAGATGATCTGTGGTCTCGCCGGTGGACTCTGACGAGTCCAGGTTGGGGTAACCTAGGCCTCACTCTCTGCGTGGAGGTTCACGGCGGAAGCCCCTAGCTCCTGGGCCCGTTGAGGAAGAAGGGCCGGGTGGGCCGGGTGGACCGGGAGGGGTGCGGGCTCTGCGTTCCGACCCGGAGTGCCTCGGGTGGAGGGTCGTCCTCGGTGGCTGCGCCGCCTTCGCAGTCACCACTCTGTCACCTTGGCTCTGAGAGTCGTTCCACGCAGACCACGTGCTTGGTTATTTATTCTGGCTTTAAATGTGGGCTACCCCATTAAAGCCCTGTTAATGTTGAATGTATGTGGTGGCCTATTCTCCAAAACCCTAGGTAGTGTAGCTTAAATGTACGCACGGAAAGAATTACGTCTGATCCTCTCTGTCCAGGGATTTACTACCCACCAATCTCCTGAGGAAGGCAGGAGAGAAGTAGTCATGATAGTGCAGTTAGGGCCTCATTCGAGGATGTGACTTACCCTTAGGTCGTGAAACAATTACAGTAAGATGAAAACTAGTCTTTGTCAAAATTGCCGGTGCTTGTTTAAGAAGCCTACCCTGCAGCTGAACTCCCGTTGGTGAAATATGTGCAACCTTTATAAAATGTGTGTTTTGATATTTATCTTTAGAATTTGAATCGGGTGACTTCCCTGACATACCTGAACACAGACCCCCAGCGTACTTGGAGAGGAACCTGGCCCCAGAAGAGCTCTACCGTAAAAATGAGCCCCACAGATCCACTGTAAGACTGACTCATTGACGGTGATGATCTTAAGAGAAAACTGGACACTTTAACAAAAACAGCAACAAAACTTGATAGTGAATAGAATGTCACCAAAAACATGCCTGCCGTGCTTAAAAGCTCGTCCTCTATGCTTCTTAGCAGAGAGATGGTCGGGAGCTGAAGAGGAATGTGTTAAGCAATTGTATGGCCATGCAAGAAAACTCACTTCTGATTTGTTTTAAACTGTTAACTCTATAAATAATCTTTTAGAGGAAGTTGCTTTAATATTGAGTAAATTAGAATGAATTTGAACGAAATGGAAATCTATAAAAGAACTTTAGAAGTTAGGTGTGTGTGTGGGGGTGCTTGAACATGAGTGGAATCTTCCACTTCTGGTTTCAAGTTCTCCATCAGAACTAGCTGTGTGGTGTTAGGAAGGTCAGCAATTCCCTGGACTCGCCTTGTTTGTTTGTTTGTTTTTTTTTTGTTTGCTTAGCTAGAATGATAATGCTCCTTTGAGGTCTGAGAGAATTTATGTGAAAATACACACACTCTGGAAGGGTGTGGCTGTGATCTGAGAAGTTTGTGGGGCATCCAGGACCCCATGCGTGCAGCTGATGGAGCTTCTGGGTTGTGCAGTTGTGTACAGAATACATTTTGAATTCCTAGTGGTCCAGCGAAGAGAGCCTGACTTTTTTATGCCCTCTAGTCTTGATTCTCCTGCTAGTGTGGTGAGTGGGTTATCTCTGTGTCTGGCCTTCTTGTTTTCCAGAGATAGTGACTTTGCCTGCCTTTTCCCCTGTGGGGACTGAGATTACATCTTAACTATGAAAGTATCGTAAAGAACTAAACTTAATGCTAAGTTTAGTGAGTGTTAATAACAGTTAAGCTGCTGGTTCACATGGAAACACCTTTATCAAATTTCATTTGGATTTGAACAGCTCTGTTTTGTGACTTGGTCAAATTTATTATTGGAGAATTCTGTAAAGAGCAGAGTCAGGCAGATATTTTCAGGGTTTGGAATGTAAGCAACTACTATATGCGTATAAAATCTGCTCTTAAATATAGAGGAAGACTTTTAAATGACTTTTTCAGAAAAGTGTACAGTCATATAATAGCAAGGGAGCAAAGCCTTTTGGGTTTTTGTTTAGCAAAGTGGGGAACAGATCTGAGAGTGTATAAAACTGTTTGTATCAAGGCTATGAATTTTCATAGCAAACACCTACAAATGTCACTCACCTTTGCTATGTGTTTAATCGAAACGGAGAGCCATGGTGTTAAAGATCTGTTGAGTACTGCAAACTTTCATGCCAAGTCTGATGCTAGAAAATGATTTGCTTTATAGTTGCTATTAGTTATTATTTTATGTTTAGGTCTCCATTTGCTTGACTGTCCTTTTAATGCATAGCATTGAATTTTGTTTTTTCATACAGTGACGATGAAGACACATTTAAAATCCTGGTTGCCACTGATATCCACCTTGGGTTTATGGAGAAGGATGCAGTTAGAGGAAATGACACGTTTGTGACGTTTGATGAAATTTTAAGACTTGGCCTGGAAAATGAAGTGAGCTCGGGTTACATTTGTGTGTGCTCTTCTGTACTTCCTCAGTAACAGCCTCTTTTCTGTTGAGTTAGAGTTGATTGCCAAACTTCATACACTCACATTTTCTGGCTAAATGTCAATATACTTAAAAATTCGAGTACTTTGTGTTCATAATTTGAGCAGAAATTGCCTTGACAAATAACCTTCACATTTAGAAACAAGGGGTATTTAACGATGCACCAAGCTGTCGTGATTCCTACCTTTAATAAAAAGATGGCTGTTGGTGTTCAAAGAACATATAACCAACCGGAATTTGAGGCAAATATCCCAAACATTCAAGTACAACATTATTTGTAGAAAGAGGCCCGTAGAAGCGCCATTTCCTAAGACTTCAGAGGTAGAGGAGATTGGAGTTTAGATGAGACTAGTCACATGAACTGAGTCAAGAAGGTGACATTTAATGTGTGTTGAAGGAGAAGCAGCCTTTAATTCTAGGTTCACAGAATGGCCTTTCAGTGTGAAGCAGAAATGAAGGCACAGGTATAAGACAGCATGGAGTATGTTAGGTGACTGGTTTGGCTCGCTTGTGGGCCATGTGTGCACTGAAGAGAGCTGAGCCTGTAACTCAGTTGGTAAAGTGCTGTGTACCATGCACAAGGCTCTGGGTTTGATGCCCAGCAGCATAGAAAGCTTGAATGCGGTGGCACATCTTAATCCCAACACTGAGAGGCTTGAGCAGGAAGTTCAAGGTCATTCTCAATTACTACAGTGACTTTGAGACCAGCTTAAACTACATGAATGAGAACTTTATTTTTAAAAAAAAAATTGCTGAAAGGCTAGAACTGAGCATTTGAACTGTATTGATGAGGGGAGCTGCAGATGTCGGACTCTTGTTCTGTGCAGTGGAATGTCTTCTGGCAGCTGACACTGGAGAGCATTTAATGCTTTTAAAAACTGGAAAAGACAAAGTCAATATGTGAGAAGTTACAAAGAGAAGGTGTACATATGTTAATTTGCAGGGTTTGGAAATGAATCAAATCTGATGAACCTGGGTGGATGATGGTGGCATTTCTTAAACCGCCTTACTGAAGGGGAGTCTGTCATATGGGAGGGTGTTGGAACTCCGACATAACACCAGGATAGAGGTGGAGATTGGAGTGGGGAGTGTTCCCCGAGTCCAGGAGGGTGCCCTGCCTGCCCAGCAGTTTCCCTTCAGCCCCTGACTGTCTACCACCTTCTGCTGTCCTGGTAGGCCCATAACAGTACCCGTGTAGCTTCTGTCTCAGTTGTCCTGCAGTGCAGTAGCTCCTAGGGGTCTTTCTACTTCACACTTCGCCTCCTGTGTGTTGTCAGCATCACAGCCAAAGCAAACTTGATACCATAAGTAGATCCTGTCACTGTCCTCAAAATCTTAATAGCCTTCCTCTGAATTTAGATTCAGACTCACATATAATGCTGTACCTTGACCTTGGCCCCTCCAGGGCTCTGGATCCTTACAATGAATGCTGCAGGTTCCTCCTAAGTGTCTGGATCTTTGTAACTTGACACTGGTCCTCCCAGGGTTCAGGATCTTTGGTTGCCCTGCCTGCTCCACACCAATGTGTTCTCTGGGACCTTATAGGTCAACTTTTCTGATTTACCAACTGGATTAAGGCAGGGTTGACTTCTCACTTCACATCTTAATTTTTTGGGGAGGAGTAGGATGGGGGTTTATTGAGGTGATCTCATAGCTGATATTGCCTTTGAACTCATAATGTAGCTAAGGGCAACCTTGAAATTCTGGTCCTCCCCCTCCTAAATGCTGACTTATAGACACTTGTCACCATATTTTACCTTTTTGAAGAGGCTTTCCTTTATACCTCCGAGCACTCCGTGACATTATGCTGCTTTTTTGTAATGATCTCATGTAGAATGATTAAGTTGTTTACCCATCGCTTACTTGTGTTCCCCTATGGGAGAGATTCTGTGACAGTGAAGTCTTTCTGTTGCTTAGTAATACCTAAGAAAGCTGAACTCTGTACCAGTCACCCCTGGCTGTTGATCTTTGCCCTAAAATTCCCAGGGGCTCCTAGCGCCTGTGTCCTCCCCAGAATGATGCTCCAGTTGTGACATAAGAGTGAAAGAGCAGTGTGCCTGCCGAGATAATCGCGTGCTTGCTCCGGCTTTTGTAAGCCACTCACTGTTGGAAAAGGGCAAAGCAGTGTCCTCTGTCCTGTGTGATGGGAGTGAGAGACAGTGAAGGGGAGGAAAGCAGTTGTTCCAAGCAGCTTTGGAGCCTGCTGCAGAGAGGTGATGTAATGCCCACCTTTAAGTCCACTGCAGAGAGGTGATGTAATGCCCACCTTTAAGTCCACTGCAGAGAGGTGCTGTAATGCCCACCTTTAAGTCCACTGAAGAGAGGTGCTGTAATGCCTGCCTTTAAGTCCTCTGAAGAGAGGTGATGTAAT